TATATTCCTGGGCCAAAGTTATGTCCAAAAAACATGCTGAAGCTCCCGAATCGATCAAAGCTTGTAAGTTTATTTGGAAACCATCCGGCAGGTGTAGGTGCAATGTTGGTGTGAGCGCTGATACAGGTTTGTTAGGTGATATTCTTTTAGAGGATGAATTAATTGTTTGATCCAGTCGAAGCTCACCTACTGCGACTGGGTCTCTTCTTTTCCTGACAATTCATCTATAACAACTAAAGCACCAATTCTGAGCGGTGTATTATTTTTCTTGGGACAGTTCCTAATGATATGTCCTGGTTCACCACAGTAAAGACAAAGGTTGTTGGTGCGACGTCATTTCTTCTCCTCCTCAGACAGTGGCTTGAATCTTATGGTGTCTATTTGCATGGGCACTCTGACAGAGGCTGTTGAACTATTAGAGGCTTGCGGTTGATGTTGTTCTGCGCTCAAGCCACATTGTCATTCTTGTTTTCGTTCAAACAACCGATTATCACATCTAACTGCTTTTGTAATGGCATCATTTAGGGAGGTAGGGTCTTCAACAGTAAGAAACAAATCCTTTATATCATTTCGGAGTCCATTCCTAAATTGGTCAATAAAAGCTGCTTCACCCCAATCCAAATCACCAGCGATTTGTCAGAATTCGGAAGCATAACTCGAAGCTGGCCTGGATCCTTGGGTAAGTTTTCGAATTTTATTCGAGGCTGTTCTGGATTTGTCTGTGTTACCGAATGTAGCTTTGAACTCTTTTATCAGATTTGTGAAGGTTTCCAGTATTGGCGATTCGTTTTCCAATAATGAGGCAAACCATGCAAGGGCTGGTTCTGTAAGTAAACTTTCAAACAGGCCCACTTGTGCTTGATCATTTGGGTAGCGATTAGGTTGCATACGAATTACTAACCAAACTTGGTTTAGGAAGCTTCTATATAGGGCTCTTGTTCCATCAAATTTATCTGGGAGGCTAACCTTCGGTTCTTTATAATGTATGTTTTCCTCTCTTTGGCCACGAAGTTGACCGATAGTGGTTCTTAATTCTTCATTTTCCTGATGAATTGTTTGGTAATCCAATTGGATCTGGTTAAGTGCTGCTAAGA